GTGGAACTCCTCTGTGCTAACCCCAGATGCTTTTGTTTGCTTGTAACCTTTAAGCTGAACCCCCAATAAAGCTAATTTGGATGCTTAATTTTTGTAATTGTTTCTTTTTAAGATCTAGCAAAAAGCCTAAATTCCAGGTGTATTTTTTTCCTTTTTGTTTTTAATAAAATTTACCTTTTTTAAGAACAGTATTGGATTTTTGGTGTCCTAAGTAGTTTTGTGGACATGTTGTTTGATTAGCTGGTAGCCACAGCTAATTTCCTTTGTTTTCTTTCTCAGCTCTTCCCTGGAGGGAGGGGTGAAAGGGCTTGAGGGTACCCCACAGGGAGGAATTCCCAAGTGCTCCTTCCTGGGTTCAAAGAGGTTTTTTGCATTTGGATTGGTGTTTACCAATCCAAGGCCAGAGAGAAGCTGTAACCTTGGGAGTGTAATACAAGCCTGGAGTGGCAAGTATTAATTTTTAAAATCCTTGTGGGCCCCCACCTTCTGCACTTGAGGTGCCAGAGTGGGGATTCAGCCTTGACACCTGCAAATTTTAAAAATGGTAAATGCCTGGTACAACAGGCATATGTGCTCAATGCCTTAGCTAAAAGGTCAAGGGAGCGGTGCAGATTTATTAATTGGGTCACCACTTCATCAATGGAAATTGGATATACACCAGCCTTTGCAAACCTGAGCACATCTGCCACACACTTCAGGCAAACTCACTGGTAAAGATAAACAGTTAAACAAATGTATTGACTGCAAAAGCTAAGTGATATTAAGTGATAGGCAAAAAGTCAGTTAGTTACCAAAATAAAATAAAATATAAGCACGCAGTCTAAACTCCCAATCCTATTAGACTGGGCAACATCTAGATCAATCAGTTTTTCTCACCCCACTGGATATTGCAATCCTTAATATACAGGTTTGTCCCTTAAACCTGGGCTAATCTCCTCTGCTGGAGTCTTGTCTTCTTCTCAGTGTCTTTGTTGCTTGCAGCATAGGTGGGGGCAGGAGAAAGGCCTCACATGTGGCCACTGTGTTCTATTTTATAACCTCAGTCCCATATGCTTGGGGAGCACAAGTCCAGGCATGTCTGAGGGCATTGCTGAGTCTCCAGGCCAGGTTGAGCAATTCCCCTGGTGTGGCCTCATGCAGGTGAGTCATTGAAGTGTAGCTCCCTTGCTGGAGCTATTGATGGGTTGTTTGACACCCCATCTGGGTGTTGGTTACTTTCCTTGCTGTTGCCTCTGGGGAGCTAATATCTGGCAGATTCCCCAACTTACAGCATGTTTTAGTGACAACCAAACAACACAATTCTCATAACTTCATATGCATTAGTGATATACATATATGGATAGAGAAATAACTTTCAGAGATCATAACCTTTCCCCGATACATTGCAAGGCATGCTTTATATGTAAGATCACGATTATATGAAAATTAGGAATATGGGGGTTACAGGATGCTCCCCCAAGGTATAGAATGTCACAGTTACTGAAACATCTTGTGAGTCTGGGAAATGCCCATAGACTAGCCCCTCAGAGAGAACAAAGAAACTGCAAACACAGAGGCCTCACATGCCAAACCTCACGTACACAAAAGCTGCAAGCAATAATTTACAATCCATAATGAAGGATGGTCAGCAGCTCACATATACCCTGGGTACTGCCTAAGCCCATGACACAGCATGGATTTTTCCAGCACCTGGAGAAAGGTATAAATGAGGGACAGTGACATCACCATAGGGCCTCGCTCTCCTCCCCCATCTTGACACCCGGAAGCAAGATTGTTTGGAAGACAGAGACGTTTCCTTGAACTGGGGCGAAGGGATGATCCTAACTAGAATGCTTTCTAGTTAGTATAAACTGAGCTGAAAAGTGTCTGTAACGTCCAGTAGGGTGAGAGAAACTGGTTGATTCAAATCTTCCTTAGTCTGATAAAGTTTAGGATGTAGAATGCATGTTTGTTTTATTTCTTATGTAACCAACCCTGACCTTTATGCCTACCACTTATATTCATGTAAAATCTATCTTTCTCTAGTTAAGAAACTTATGTTAATGTTTAGACAAACTCACTGGTTTAGATTAAAGTACTTGTGGGGGTCTGCTCACATTACAGAGGCTGGTGCACGTCCACTACCCTTTGAAGGAGTGGTGAACTAATTAATGTGCTTGCATTGATCAAGAAGGTCTTAAGCAGTGTAAGATGCACTGGGGTGCAAGACTGGGGCTGGAGGCATTTGCTGGGGTCTCCTTGTATGCAGTTCATGAGTGGCCTGGGAGAGCATTCATGTAACTTTGCTGGGTGTGCCTCTGCATGCTGATGGCTGAGTGAATAGATCCTGGAGGGGTTTGCTGTTCACTAGCATAGCAGTGTAGGAAACAGCCAGGACAGGAAAGTTAAAAGGGGTACAATGGTTCCACAGTCCAGATTGCACCCTGGGGCATGTCAAAACCATCCCCTCCATAAACTTATCAAGTGCAGTCTTGAAGCCAGTTAGGGTTTTTTTGCCCACACAGCTCTCCTTGGAAGACTGTTCCAGAACTTAACTCCTCTGATGGTTAGAAACCTTTGTCTGATTTAAAGCCTAAACTTGTTGGCCAGTTCATATCTATTTGTTCTTGTGTCAAGGTTGGAGCTTAACTTAAATAACTCCTCTGCCTCCCTGGTATTTATCCCTCTGATGTATTTGTAGAGAGCAATCATATCTCCCATCAGTCTTCTTTTTGTTAGGCTAAACAAGCCAGGCTCTTTGAGTCTCCTTTCATAAGGCAGGTTTTCCATTTCTCTGATCCTCCTAGTAGCCCTTCTCTGCACCTGTTCCAGATTGAATTCATCTTTCCTAAACATGGGAGACCAGAACTGCACACAATATTCTAGATGAGGTCTCACCAGTGCCTTTAATGGTACTAACACTTTCCTATCTCTACTGAAACTATCTTGCCTGATGGGTGAATGTGGTATGGCAAATGGGGTTTTAATGAGAAAGGGCAGGTCCTGGCAACCTTTTCTCAGCCCCAGAATGTAGGGACATCAGGGAATGTGCTTCATAACCAACTGATGGACTTTCTTTGCTGCTGCTCTGCACAAGAGGGAAGAAAGCGGAAGAACACTTAGGGACTTCTAAGCACCCTGTGGCTCAGCCTATGTCAGGGGTCGGCAACCTCTGGCATGCTGCTCGCCAGGGTAAGCACTCCGGCGTGCCGGGCCAGTTTGTTTACCAGCCGCGTCTGCAGGTTCGGCCAATCGCGGCTCCCACTGGCTGCAGTTTGCCGTCCCAGGCCAATGGGGGCTGCGGGAAGCGGCACGGGCCGAGGGATGTGCTGGCTGCGGCTTCCCGCAGTCCCCATTGGCCTGGAGCGGCGAACCGCGGCCAGTGGGAGCCGCGATCGGCTGAACCTGCGGACGTGGCAGGTAAACAAACTGGCCCGGCCCACCAGGGTGCTTACCCTGGCGAGCCGCGTGCCAGAGGTTGCCGACCCCTGGCCTATGTAATCAGATGATCTTATTACTGTTTGTCACACTCATTTTGACATCTTATCTGAAGTTGGACTGTGGGTTTGTACAGTGCCAAATGCAATGGGACCCCAATATGGATCAGTGCTTTCGAGCCATTCCACTATATAAATAAATAATTGGAAAACAGTTTATTAAAGGTATATTGTTCCTGATATCACAAAAGGCAGCAGCAAGATAAAGCACAAATATAACAAAAGTCAGTTTACAGTAAGAGCTGAAATAATATTTTGTAACTTCAGAAGATGCTGCTGCAAAATTTGAGTCAAGAAAACTGCTCAGGCAAACTCTGGGTCACATGGGTAACAAACAATGGAGCCCTACAGTAACATTTCATATTAAGGGTGGAACATCTTGGTTATCTTCAAAGTCAACATAACTATTCTCAGTGTCTATAACCTTTTGTTGCTGCAGATTAATAGGTCCTTGCCCAATTCGCTCCTTTTCTTGGATTATGTTTGCCACATCAGGGAATGAATATTTGCTAGGATCCACTTCTAGTTTCTCAACTCGCTCCCTGTAACAAAGGAGAACAGATGGTTATAAATAAAACTTCATTTCAACATCACATGTAGCAACAGAAATTTGGGACTGCTTCCCAAATTCCCGTAGAAGTCACCATGAGTTTTGAGGAGGATTAAGAAATCTCACTATTGTGAATTGATTGTTAATTCAAAAGGGAGTCTCAGGGCTTGTATACACATACAGCACTGCAGTGGTGAAGCTGTGCTGCTGTAGTGCTTAGTGAAGACACGATCTATGCTGAAGAGAGGGCTTCTCCCCTCGGCATAGATACTCCACCTCCCTGAGAGGTAGTAGCTATGTTGATGGGAGAAGCCTTCCCATTGACATAGCGCTGTCTCCACTGGGTGTTCTTCTTCTTCAAGTAGTGTCCCTACGGGTGCTCCATTGTAGGTGACATCCCCTCTGCGGGGCTGAGGCAATCGTCCAGGTAAGGGAAAATCATGATCCCTTGCAAGCATAAGCGGGTGACCACTACTGAGAGAACTTTGGAAAATACTCTCGGGGCTGAAGATAACCTGAAGGGGAGTACCCTGTACTGGTGTTGATTTTGTCCCAGGTTGAATCTGAGAAATCGTCTGTGAGTCAATAAGACTGAGATGTGAAAATACGTGTCCCTGTAGGTCGAGGGCTGAAAACCAGTCTCCTTGTTGCAATGCTGGAATGATCGTTGCTAAAGTGACCATCTTGAATTCCTAAGCTTTGACAAACTTGTTGAGAGTGCTAAGGTCTAATATGGGTCTCCAGCCCTCCTCCTTCCTGGGTATTAGAGTAGAACTCTTTGCCTCATAGATGTTGAGGTACTGGTTCTATCGTTCTAACTGGAGGAGACAGTTTACCTCTTGACGTAGTAAACTCTCGTGAGAAGGCTCCCTGAAGAGGGATGGGGAATGGTGTTGTGGAGGATGCAGGGAGGTAAAATGGATAGAGTATCCATGGTGAATGATCTCTAGAAGCCATTGGTCTGATGTTATATGCTCCCAGGTGCTGCAGAACACTGCCAGACAGTGGCCAAATGGGTGGGTATTGATGGTCAGTTGTAGCAGTTGTGGGGAGTGGTCTATCAGAACCTCGATCAACACGTCAAAACTGGTGTTTAGATGTGGAAGGCTGCGACAAGGAGGATTGCTGACCGGACAGTTTACGTCTGGAGAATTTAGTTTTCTTTCTCTGTGGCTTGTAGTATTGTTGAGCCGGATATTGCGAAGTGCAGGGCTTAGACTAAATTTTCTCTTTTGTCCGTAGATCCCCAGCGAATGGCGAGTGGCCTGAGAATCCTTCAAAGTATGAAGGGAGACATCAGTTTTCTCCGCAAAGAGCTTAGTGCCCTCAAAAGGAAGAAGATCTTTGATGGTTGCCTGCACCTCCTTTGGGCAACCTGACAGGTGGAGCCAAGAGGCATGTCACATCACCACTGCCGTGGAGGTGGCTCTGGCTTCAGTATCAGCCATGTTGAGGGCAGACTGTAGCATTGTCTTTGCTACTAGCTGCCCTTCTTGGATGTTGGCCTTAAATTGTTCACAATGTGTCTCAGGCAGCTGCTCAATAAAGTAGTGTTCTATTTCAAATAATTCATGTAATAGTATTTCACATAAGTGCTTGGTAGTTGGCGATTTGAAACTGAAACGTGGCCAAGGAGTATGCCCTCCTGCCAAATAGGTCCAGATGCTTCCAGCACCTATCATAGGGAGTGGACCTCATGTGGTGTTAATGGCCACGAGAATTGACAGCGTCCACCACGATGGAGTTGGGTGGAGGGTGGGAGAAGAGGAACCCTGTTTCTCTCACCGGGACATAGTACTTTTTGTCTGCTCGCTTGTAAGTCGGTGTGACTGATGCTGGGGTCTGCCATATTGTCTCGCAGGGTCAAGAAGGGCTTCATTCATAGGGAGGGCTACTTTTGAAGAGGAAGATGAGTGGAGGATGTCCAGGAGCTTGTGGTGCATGTCCTTGACTTCCTCCAGAGGTATCTGAAGACAGTCAGCCACTCTCTTTGCGAAGTCCTGCAACAGGCAAAAATCACCCACCAGGGATGGTGGAAGAGGCATGACAGCCTCGTCTGGGGAAGAGGAGGATATAGGTTTTGGGTTTGCCTCCTCCTGAACATCGCCCTCACAGTTCTCCAAGATTCCTTCTAGGGACTCCAAAGCCCTCGTTGCCAGGGCCGAGGAAATGTGTCTCATGGACTCATGGGTGGAACTAGGAGCCTGAGAGGCATGGGTGCAGTATGCAGGCCAGGGGTCCTAGTATAGCATGGAGCCTGGTGGTGGTGCCCATGGATGGCCATACCAGGACAGCAGCATTGGGGCCATCTGAAGATATGCCCGGGGGCCCTGCTGGAATCGGGCACCACAGAGCTGCTTGGAAAGAGTACTGTGATATCCCGTTCTCTGGTTCACTATCGGAGTCTGAACTGAGAGTGGGTGAGCATGGCAAGGAAGCAGGAAAGACTCCTGTGCCAGGTGGAGACTCGGGTGCAGAGGTCCCGGTACCGAGGAAAGGAGATTCTGGTGTATCGGTTACACAGAGGTCCCTTGAGTGCCGGAAATCCGGTGGTGCTGACCAACTCTGGCAATGCTGGGGGGACGGAGATCTTGTCCACACCGGCTGTTCAGGTACCGGAAGAGACGTCGGTACCGATGGGACATTGCATACTGGTGGTTCCTTGGAGTGTTTGCTCCTGTCCTTTTCCTTAGGTGCCATTGACTTGGTGACTGTGTCCATTGGGTCTGTGGGGGCCATAGTCCACTGGGTACCTGCCACCATAGTCTTCCTTGAGCCGTGGGTACCAGGCTTGGCTTGTCTTGGTGCTGATGGCACTGAGAATATAGAACATGCTGGGGATTGTTTGCGGCTAGCTTGCGGCGGGGACTGCCCACTACTTTTTGACTTGAGAAGGGTCAGTGGCAGATTTCTTCACCCCATGGCCCTTGGATGTTGAGGGCTGTGGGGAAGACTCATGGCTGCATGAAAACTCTTGATACGGGTCCAGAGAAGGTCTGAGAGCTGCCTCCATGAATATAATCTTCTGCCTCAGCTCTCTGTCCTTGCGAGACCAAGGTCTATGTTGCTGGCAGAGAGTGCACTTTTGAGGAATGTGTCCTTCTCTGAGGCAACGAGTGCACCATGAGTGTGTGTCTGTGACGGGGATAGCCTCACTGCAAGAGAGACACTTCTTACACCTACAGTGGAGCACCAATAGGGACTCTACTCAAAGCAGAACTTTTGGTATCTGTAATTTATTTTACATCTAAAAATGACTTATCAGTTAATACAATTTGCTAGCTGCTGAGGTAGCACAGTTTTTGATCACAATTGGTTTCTTTTCTGGTCATATTTAGCTCAGTCATTTCACTTTAACTATTTAATATTCTCAGTATAATTCCCTAATTAAACAGTCCCTGGAAAGCAGAAATGAACAGAACCTTTTTTTAGCAAGCAAATACATTATATTTAAACTGAGTGTTCTGTGTATGTCTGTTGCTTATTATTTTTGACAATATGGCTCTTAACGATTTTTGTGGGGTGAACAATTATTCAAAGCACAGTAAAAACTAGAATGCATAATACATTCATTCAATCCATGTTAGGGATGTTTTTGAAAGAACGCTTAGCATAATTTGTTGTTTTCTTAATGAACTCATTGATATCATTATCACTCCATCAGCAGAGATTAAGTGTTCTTATACTTTCTGCACTGTCGTATTTAGACCTAGCATTTAAAAAATAATTAATTCAATTAAACAGCTAATTTGTTGACATGCATAGAAATAAATCTCTTCCTTTGAATAAACATCAGTGGACTGGAGCACATTGGTTAAGAAGAAGACTGTTTTATGGATTAATCATCTGAGAATGTTTAGAAGATATGTGATGTAAATTAATTCCTATTATAACTTCACATTTAAAGGAGCACTATGTCTACATTCTGTGTGGGAGGCCTAGAGGGAGCAGGGGACACCCTAAAAAAACAGAAAAATTCTAACCCATTCCCAGTAATTTGTGATTGATTCTTCTTCACCTAGTCCCATTAACTAGGGTCAGAGGCTTGTGTACTTCATCTCCAAGTGTTCTTGTCAAGTGTGCCTTCAAAGCTGACACCAACCTTCTTCAGGTCCTCCTTCAGCATCTTGAACCACCTTTTTCTAGATCTTCCGTGTGGTTTTTGTCCCATGACTACTAGTTCTTGTACTCTCTGGACCAACATATCCTACGCCTCATTGTCTCACATGACCTAGCCATCTCAGTCATTACTCCCTGAGCTTTTCTGTGATGGGGGGGGCTATTGAATCATGGCTCATACCATTTCATTGTATAGCCTCTCAACTCTAATCTTAGTCAGCGGCCACCTGAGCATTCTCAGTTTGTCTGTGTGAAATAGTTGTTCTTCTCTGTTCCTCACTGACCAGAATTCCAACCCACATGTCATGACTGCCCTTATCGTGACCTTATACACTTCATTCCTTAGTTTACTTGGCATACTCTTATTCTGTCAATTCCCTACATTTACACAACGCGCCCTTCAAAGCAGCTCCTAACATCTGCATCCATATTCCCATCATGGTTCAACAATGAACCAACGTATTTAAATTGATGCACAGACCAACTCTATACCATTGAGTCTTACTGGCTTCTCATTGTCCCACTCAACAAAGCACGGCATGTATTCCATATTTTGTCAGCTGATTCATAAACCATGTTCTTCTAATACAGTCCTCCATAGATCAGTAGCGGATTAGCCACTGGGCCAATGGGGCCTGTGCCCAATGGCCCTGGCCAATTTGGGCGCCCCAGTGCCCCCAACCCGCTCCATCCGGGGCTCCTGCCAGGGAGTGGGGTCAGGGCACAGAGGCTTGCCATGCTCTGCCCACCTGCCCGGTGCTCCAGCCAGGGAGCGGGATCAGGGCGTGGGGGACTTGCCCCGCTCCGCCTGCCTGCCCAGCATTCCAGCCAGGGAGCAGGGTCGGGGCATGGGGGCTTGCCCCGCTTGGCCAGGTGCTCCAGTCAGGGAGTGGGGTCAGGGTGTGGGGGCTTGCTCTGCTCTGCCACCTGGTGCTCCAGCTGGGGCTTGCCCCACTCTGCCCACCTGGCGCTCCAGGAGTCCAAGTTCATGTACCTGGTAATAATCACTTTGTAACAGTAACCCTGTTGTTTAAAGGCCCTGGCCCAGCTCTAGGAGTCTTTACCATTCCACAGTTGAAGCTGCAACAAGCACACTTGGGATGAAAGACGCCTCTCCAAATACTGAGTAAGTAGCTGGTGGGGCACAGCTCCTCTGCTACTATGAGGCCCCATCTGCAAAGCTTTCTGCCCCCTGGAATTCTTGTGCTGAAGCAGCATTTTATGGTTCCCCCTACCCAATCTGCTCTTCTGATTAAAGAGATGGTATCATGTCAAACATGGCCCCAGATTAAGGTTTTTGGATGTTTAAAAGCAAAATGAAGAACAGGAGGACTTGTGGCACCTTAGAGACTAACAAATTTATTAGAGCATAAGCTTTCGTGGACTACAGCCCACTTCTTCGGATGCATATATATATGCATATATATATATATATGCATCCGAAGAAGTGG